CGGCATTTAGGGAAGCTTGCGGGAACTGTGTCCATACTCAGGGCCGCACAGTTGTCACCATGCTGCAAGTCTTTGGCGCCACAAACCTCCCTGGTCTAAGGGTGTCTCTCATGCTTGTGGCTAGGCGGCTAATCCAACCTCCTGCACACAATCGAACTAGGCTACTTGTAACAAGCCCTGGAGAACTGCATTTGTTAGACATGAGAGCTGCACTGGGACACAATTTCAAACTGATCGCAAACGGCAGGTGGAGACAGTCAAGACCACGAAAAGTCACCATCGGACATCGCACAGATAATCTCGTGCCAAACTGATTGTCAGAAAACTGGATGCGCAAGGAACTACTGATGTATGGCCGCGGCCGACATGCTTTCCTGGACGGCCTTACCTTCCAGAAGCTGATCAACACCAAGCTGTAGGTCTGTCCGCGATATCCGAGAAATGCTTTTCTAGCCAGCCCTATAACTGGGCTATCACATCCCGTGCAACCCCTGCGATCAGGACATGCTGAAAGATTTCAACCACGCCTTGCGGAGGTTTCGGTCTCCGACTTCTGGCGAGACTGACCTGCTTCAGTTGCTAACGGGCCTGCACACGCATGAATACAACCTCCGCTTTGCTTCAGAAAAAAGGTTCCATGCAACCGCGCGGAGTCTGCTAACCAGAACACGCCTCATATTCGGCGAAGTCGATTATATCCACCTTGTTGCACATAGTGGCCATACAGTGGCAGAGATTTACACTTGTCGAGCGAAGCAAGCTTGCCACCGTATTCGTCGTTTAGGCCCCGACGACTGCTCGACCTTTCTTCCGGGGTGCCTTGAAAGCCACGAGTGTGCCCACCGCAGTTGCTGGCAGAAATCACCAAATGATTACGGCTCATCGTACAATCGCTATGGACTAGCAAAGTCGACTCTCGGCGCTATGTTCTGGCCACATGGATGTGCAAAAAAAAACTTGGAAATAACTGTTCAGCCTGCATGGCAGCTGCTCCCACAGCCGGTGAAGATTCCTCGTAGCCGCAGCATGCAGCCAAAGAAAGCTCAGTGCTGCAGGCGCAACACGAAGAGGAGGTGGCAGCACCAGCAACAAAACACCGAGCACATGCACTAGTGTTGTCAAATCCAATGCCGGACAACGCGGCCTGCGTTGCATCCACCTCGGGATGAGATACTGGCAGCTCACTTGTTAAACATGCACATGCAGTCAAGCTGAGTGCGACTGATTGTGAAAACACCCTGTATCGTCATGCGCAAAATGCAAAACGCTCATAGGCTCCAGCAGCGCGAGGCGTAGTTGCCGGCGTGCCGCTTGGAGTGCCACTCGGCGTCGTCCAATAGCTCGTATCCTAAACGTCAGGAAGCAAACCGACAGCAATACATGCACGGACACCGGCAGGACATGACAATGTTGATCCGATGAAACTGCAAGCAGCGCATACAGAGAGTGCACCGATTTTTTTAGACAGCCAAAAGAGCATATTTGCTGGTCGTTGCGAAGCGCTTGAGGCACAACGCTGCGGACCAGACAATGTGAACTGTCATGCTCCTTCTAGACCCTGGTGACAGCCGCCCATTCGAAGAAGGTTGCACAGGCGGTCAAGACGAATGATCCACATAACGCCGAAAATACAAACCTCTCGCTAGTAGCTCAATGTCAGCAACCACTGAAGGATTCGCTCGCGATTCATGGCGCCACTGTGGATCTCCTCCGGCAAATACATGCAAATACAGTCACAACACAGCAGCACAGGAGCTAAGGGTGTACAACAAATTCGGCTTTGCGGACAGTCATGATTGGTCGGCAGTTCATTCTCACTTTCAGGAGCAACACGGCGTTTCATCCATTGCCATCTCATGCGAAAACTACTTCTATTGGAGAGATGAGCAGGGCCGTTACGGCACAGGAGTCGAGACCGCTGTCGATGGTTGTGGCGCAGCTGCTACGTGCTGGTGGTCATCAAGTTCGAAAAAAGTTGGCTCGGAGCTTTCCCCGTTCACGCAACGTGAAGTCCTCTAGATGCCAGACGCTGGGTTCTGCCGCATGTCGCAAGACGACGTTCTCGTAGGCAGGTCGAGCTCTTTAACGAAGGACACAGCATGACTTTGAGATCGCTGCCCAGGCTTCCTTCGGTGGAAGAGAAACACCTCGATATGCGCGACAAGGAGTTCATCTGCGACGTGGCCACTTTTGTGGCCTTGCGGCTACCTCGTACTCGCACGACTATGCGGTCCAGGCTCCTGTGATTTCGCGGCCTTGTCGAGCGGCGCGAATCTCAACGGCGGTATGGTCGACTGCGGTCTCCGCATCTCCGTGATCGACTACCAACACCTCTTGGACTCTTGGGATGGGTGGACATGGTTCTTCACGATAACTGCAATCGTCGAAACTGCCGAGCGACCTCCTCGGCAACCGCTACGTTTATCGTGCACCATCGCGATTGGCAGGGCCTCACACATTTCCTGGCCCACGTGGCATCCATCAGGATGGGCTGGCTGGACAATGAGTTCCGGCGGGCCTTCTCAAGGCGCTACGTCCTGCCTCATTTCTTCTTCATTGGCCTCTCAATTGATGGAAAATACTGATAACAATGATAACCTTCCCGTCGTCAATCTTGTAGATCTCAGCCGTCCGAAGACACGGCATCAGGTCCTCAAGGTTTCCCAGACCAGGTACAGGTACACCAGATGAGCCATATGACATCTCAGTGGGCCAGGCATACGCTGCCTTCGAATGACTGCCAGACGGGCCAGACATCAAGATAGTCAGTCGGCACAGCCAGTTCATTATTCAGTAGGGGTTCACCACGTTGTCCTGAGTCGTCGTGTACACCCAGCCACCATCTGAGTCTGCTCTGCTTGGCGTCGGGAGCCGGAACTACTGTCCTGCTTTCGGATTTGTGTGGCTTGGCTCCGTCTCAAGTCTGCTCTTCTTGGCCTCGACTGCTTTGTTGTCGGGACCTTTTCGCTTCGTGCCATAGTTGTCGTGTTGCTCGGCACAGCTCCGCTGACAGAAGCGCATCCGAACCCGAGGTTGTGGCTTGTGGCAGGTGATGTTGGCGACATGGAAGTGTCTTCATCACTCCGGAGAGGCTCTCGCAGACATGGGATCATGAAAATTTCAGGATCATCGCATCCTTCCGGAGCACAGGCAGATCAAATCCAAAGTCCGGACACGCGAGGCTGCATACCTACGAGTAGATCATGGCCACATGGTCCGTCGGAGTCGGTGTCGGAGTGGCACTCTTCAGGTCGGAGTGACCTTTCTATGACGATCGCATCATGGGTGTTGTGTTTCACGTCGGTGGCAGTGAAATCAGCGAAAACTTGCCTTGTGCCAACACTGCACCACCGACATTTCTGCTGGATAACGCCCTGCTCAGGGAATCACACGGGCACGCGTCTCTTCAAAAGCAACAGAACTGGTAGAAGCCTTCTGCCAGGTCGTCATTGCAGGGCGTTCGACCAGGGCCTGATGGTACTTGAGCCTGTTCTCCTCGTCGCCATGCGCCTTCAAGCTGGTTCAGTTTCAGCAATCCCACCGGTCCTGGCCAGCCTACATCACATCACCGTTGACCCGAGGGTCGTTCTCCCAATCGATCTTCAGCCACTGTACTCCTGGCTTGCCGGCATTCATACTTGCCGGCATTCATAGCACACGGTTGCGAGCCTCTTCTGCGCGATCTCGTTTTGCAATCTACCCATGGCGGCTTGGATGATCGTCGCCGCAGCCGTGGTCATAGCTGTTTTCAAGCCAGCCGTCGTCCAGCTACTACTCGGCCTAATTGTGGGCCCAGTCGAAGTCGTAGTCGCCAGGCCAGTCGTTTTTGTTGCGTCCTTCATGAGCCCACCAGATGTCGCCGCAAGGATCTTCTCGTTCCCCGATCAGTCCCGGACTCGTCCTCCTTGTAGTAGCTCACAAACATCATTTTTCCTCGAGACTCATCTCAAAGCGAAAAACGGGCAGTCTTCTTGGAAACGCTGCAAATCTCCATGGATCTGCAGCTTGATGTGGTCAAACCTGTTGGAAAGCCCTGAGCTGCAGAAGACAAGGTAGAACCGCAAAACATCTTTGAGCTCCAGTCGCGCCGCGCAGGCCAAAGGCATCACACAGCTTTCGCGTGCGGCCGCGCCAACCTCAACTGCACTCGAAGCCTTTGGCCTTGCCTTGCAAGCCCTGCTACCGGGCCCGGGCTCCTGCCAAGGGGAACATTTCGCCTGAACTCGCGCATAGGTTTGCCACATGCGCTGCCCGCTCTTCTGCGTTGCGCAAACAGCTACTGCTTGCCTTCTCGCTGTCTTGGGGATCTTGTAATCGAGGGATTTCCAAAACATGCCCTCGTGCTCGAGGACGCGGTTCTCGCTGCGCAAGTGGATGCCATAGGAGAAGTAAGATTGCTGCCGGCAGCGGCATGACGTCGAATTTCACTTGGCTGTTGAGCACTGCCATGCTCGTCCACGATTCAGGGAATCGGAGACATGCTGAACGCAGTCTGCAGAGCGTCGCCACACACAATGCGGTGCTGTTGAGTGTCCAGCCCCAAGATTGTTAGAAGTTGCGCGGAGATGAGGCAGACTCGGGCCTGAGAACTCCGAACCCCCGCAAACAAAAAACACCGAGGCGCGCACACTACAATGGACCCATCAGGTCGAATAATGTTCCTTGCCACCCATCGAGGCGGGCAGGCGGGCGGGCAAAAATCGGCTGCTTCACCTGAACAAGCGGTTGCACCTGAACACAGGAAATCTGACAAGGCTAGCGGCAAGCAAAAGCACACCCAGGTCTGCGTTGATCAACGCGGGTTACGTGTGTGCCCTGGCCCAGCGCACCAAACCCCAAGACAAACAACCCATCTCGGCTGAGAATGTAAAGCAAGAACCATACAACTGCCAGAGTAATATCGAAGCAATTCTGGTGTCTCAAGCATGGACAGGCACTCTGCAGCAACAATCGCATGCAACCATGTCTACACAGCCAGGAGCATCTGCAAAGCACCGGACGCTTCTTGGTGTCAGCTCTGGCTCGTCCTCGTAGCACACTTAAATCACACCGCTAATCGAATCGGGCCTACGATCCAAGTGTGAGTCGACAAGAAATACAGTAGCTCCAGACGCTGCTTAATGACCAATCCCATCGAGACAGTGTGTATGTGAATGATGTATGCACGAGGCGAGGCTTGCAGTACACTATGTCCTGCGACAGGTTGCAGTTGTTCAGTCGGCACAGAGCAAGCTTTCGAGCCGCGATCCGTTTATTTGTGGACCTCCTACCGGCATGTCGTGAGCCCAGAAGTTGTGAAATCCCTGCAACACATGGTCTGGTGCCGCTTTCAACGAAGTGCAAAAAAGCAGGTAATGTGCGGTCTGTGCCGCAGGCCACGAATAGCAATTCCACGTGCGCAGGGCCGCTTGACGGACAAATTTGGCCGTGTGGCAGTTTGCACCAGGCCACGGGTGTTCGCCGAAGGACAACCCCTCGGTTTGCCGTACTATTCAACACTTCGGAAGTCTTGAAAGCGGTGTTGTGTGCTTCTGGCGCATAACGCCGACAAAAGTCCAGCTCTTCAAAGAGATTCACACCAAGTGATCATTCACAAGACGAATCTTGAGACACTTTCTTGCCCCACTCTCTTCGCCTCCTTGGCATTCTTTTCAGACGATCCCCATGCCTATACTGTTGTACTGCCTGTATTGTTATACTGCGCTGCCCGTGCTGAAAAGCCGGTTCCAATACTGCAAGTGCTGTAAGTTAAGGCGATGTCTGCAAGGGGAAACTCCGTCCTCTGTCCTACAAACATGGGCACGCTTCTATGGAATCGCTTCCAACCTGAAGAAGACTTCTCCGAGATTTCGCAGCGGTCTTTAGGGTGTGCATCAGTGACTTCATGCACAAGTAGGGTCTGTGAGGTCCTTTCACTGCGCTATACGCAGTCAGGTCTGGAGTTTTGGCCCGGGGGAGAAACGCTTCTTTCACGCAGCTCCGTTGAGGTCCGGTCTTAAACCATCGCGTCTCCGAAAAACTAGCTTCAGTTGGGAGATGTGCAGTGTGCGCAAGTAGTGCAAGTAAGAAGACGCAATGCCATGCATTATGCCCGCAGAAAGAGGTCAGTTAACAAACAAGTACGTCTGTCATGGTGCAAATTCTACTCCTCACGCAACCCGTCCGCGCCTCACCTGTCTGCCTCCGACGGGTAGCCTGATAGGCCTCCCAACCTGTGCGAAGTAATAAATTGTTCTTGGCTCTAGACGCTGGCACTGAAGCTTTGGTCGGAAATACTTGCTTCCAGTTGACACCACCAGCTCAGAAGCACCTTCAGTGCAGTCGGAGCAATATGTCCGTCTTCGCCATGTCGTGCCTGCAGTCAATTTCAACCCACGGAACACGGTGATGCACGATCTCGAAAGATCTGCAGAGATCAGTCATGTGATGTCGGCTGCCAGGACTTGCAGAGAACCGGGCAGGATGTAGTAGCAACCTTACCAGCAAAAGCCCAAGTCTATTGGGAACCAGGGCTGAGAAAGCAATTCTGTGACGAAGCGAAGCATCGTTTTGGTGAGCCCAAGCTGCCCAGTCCCAGCAGTGGCTGCAGCGCGACAGTTCAGGATAGCGATCCTGCTGCAACTGAAACCCCCACGATTCCCCAGCAAGAACCACGAGGTGCTCAGTGTCAAGGCATAGGCAGCCATTGAGATTCAGCCTCTTCGCGCTTTGTTGGTTGAGTAGCCGCGACAATACCCTGCACTGCCTGCCACGAAATCGGTGGTGTCTCCAAGGTCACTCGTCTTGGTGTCTCCAAGGGGCCTGCCATGCACCCTGGTAGCAAGGTGCTCCACGCGGCCAGGCGGACCAAACGGCACCACTCCAGGAATCTGCAAAGCTCGGAAAGCCCAGCCTTGAAGTGCATGCTCTCTCTTTTCGAAGGCCGTCAAACCAAGCGCGCCACCAGAAGACCCACAACCAGCCACTGCCACCACGCTCTCTCCTGGTCAGACTGGCCATTGAGCACCAGAAGGAAGCCCAGAAACCTCTACGCTCGCCCGGCCTTGCCCAGAGCCTCCCTGCAGCAGCCAGGAGCCAAGTTGAAGGCAGCGAGGAAGCAGCCAGCAACGCCCCACAGCCTTTTGATTTACGATTTGCAGCAGGCATATACAGCTTGGAAATGGCTATCGAGGTTCACTGCTGATCAAGTGGGGGCCACTTGAACATAGCGACAACTTCTGCAGCCACAACTTGCAAGCTCGGTCTAGGGCAGATCTTCATGACTCTTGTCATGCTTCGTGTTGGTAGTTTGCTTGTTCACTCGATTTGCATTTGGCATTTGCTGAATGTCTTCTCTCCAGGTTGCTGGCCAATTGCTGCAACTTATCTCACGCTCTCCGCACACGTGCGGGGAGCTCTTCGGCTGTCTGTAGCAGCAGTGGGCACATAAGCGCTCCCACTCCCGCCCCTGCCTTCCTCCTCTTCCTCCTCCCCCGGAGCTCACGATTACTTCCGCTTGAACCCCGTAACTTCGTACACTCAGGTGACTCTTCTACAGCGCAGTGACAAGGATCGCAACCCTCACTTCGGCCTAGAAGGCCCAGCGGCATCTGGATCACGCGCACAAAGTCCGCCAATCCGGTCCGACACCTCGCTGAGAAAAGTGGCGAGCTGGCCGGACCTCTTAAAGCGCCGTCTGCCGTCAAAGAGCCCGTCAATCAGCAAGAGACCTCGAGACAACGAACCCCTTCCATCGTTCGCCGTGGGCCGCGCTTGTGGTCCGAGCTTCCGGCAAATGAAGGGCAAGGCATCTAACTGCTCCGGCGAGAGGAGGAGGGTGATCGATCTGTCAAGACAAAGCTTGCGCGGAATTCATCAGTAACGGTATGTCAACCTTTACATTTGGCCTGTACCAAGCCAACCAGCTCGTCAGGCGCTCCGCGACACCCCGCGGAACAAGGCTCCTTCGTGTCCGCACTGCAGCACCTGGCACAGTCACCAAGCCACCTCCCGCATCTTCACTCGAGGCCAACGACCCCAACAGTCTGCCTTTTGCCTCGTGCTAAGCCCGTGCAAACATGCTGCTTGAGGGAACAAAGAGGCAGTGTACATGAGCAAAACAAAAACATTGAGGCACAGAGAGTTGATGCAGCTGCTTGCCGGACGCTCTTTCTAGGATCAGGCCTTTCTCGTATTTTACAAGGTCTTGCCTGCCGTTTCTCAAGGTCCTAAGAAAGGTGAGTTTACTCCCTGCAGTACGAGTATGCCAACCAGGCAGTCAAATGCTCGCAAGCTGCACAGCCTGTCGCCGCAAATTGCGCCGTCGCAGATTGCAAGGCCAAACTCACACCATGATCTCAGGTCCATCGCTTAGAATATCTTAAGCACATGGCGACATGTCAACCGCTGTCGGCCCCTCAAATCCACGGAGGCCACAGGTCTCAGGCGTCTTGAGGGTTAACTCAGTACCCTCTACCTAATACAAATCCTCCTCCCTGCATCCCGCAATTTTAGTGACACCCGTTTTTGGCCCCTCCCACTCTCCTCTGTGGTCCTTTGCCCTACAGTTTTCCACGTTCCGGTCCCCCCTACCCACCTCTTTCGGCAATCAGCATAACTGAGCGTTACCGGGTTGTGTCACAGTGCTGCTCTACGGCAAGCCGAGGCGGGCGGCGTAGCATTAAAATTAAGCTTGCAAGCTGTACTTCAACCATGCCGTGCCTGAGCCACAGCTGCCCTGACTTTCCGCCTTTCGGCTGGCTCGATTCAAGTCGCAAAGCTCGAGGCACCGAACCGTCAACGCACCACTCAAATGACATCCCAGAGCTTTGTGATGCGAGGCCCTTCGATAAGCTTCCCTGTTCGCCTGCACTCCATTCACTCGCAATACGCCTGGGCGAGGCTTTTCCATGCACACAAACACTTGCTGCTTGCACGAGAACCAAACGCACTGATCAGATTGGCCAAGCTGCCGTTCTGCAACTTGGGTAAGGCCTCATCACCTTGCATTGCAACAGCTACTATGCCAGTTACTGTGCGACATGCCGTCTGCGTCTCTTTAGTCAGCGCATGCCGAGTCGCCATTCCCTTGCCAAATGAGCTCCAACCTGGAGGGTGAAGGATGATGGTAGGATGGTATTGAAAGTCACGATGAGTCAGAAGGCTGAGACTTCTCTTAACAAGTGCCTACTTCCCTAATGGCCACCGGGGGTCCATCAATACACGTAGTCGATGCGGCTACTTCGAGCAAGGGGCCAAAAGTGTCGGCACATGGTGTCGCAATTGGCGACTGGGTAAGTGTCCATGTCGGTGTCCTTGCCCATGTATGCACCAATCGATTTTGTGGTAAGTTTGTCGTCGGCATGCGGGCAATTGTCTACCAGTGGACAATGTCCCGAATGGTGTGTGAGTGCTTGCGCGCCTGTCTTTGTACCGGCCATGTCGCGCGACTACGGTCGTCGTCTCTCTTGGGCCGAATCATTTCCGCGTCGGGTCATTGTGACATTGTGGACTTTGGAGAAGTCATGTTCCTGGCCGGTGATGTTGACGCGCTCAGGTTTATTGGTGTTTGCTCCCACACGGCGGTGTTTCTTCGCCCGGAAGACACCGAGCATGTGATCCAAGCAAGAGGCGGGCTTTCAAATGCCCTAAGTTAAGTGTAGTCACCTGAGTGTGTACGTCTGTGCATGTGCACAGGGTGCCAATGTTCCGAGCCAAAGATACCTCGCTCCCATCCCACCCGCATTCGTTTGTGATTACGGCTTCAACATTGTTTAACCCCGCTGGGCTGTCCTTCATGGGTCACACCCTCGGCGAGCTGGATTACGAGTCGGTCGGGTGTCTCACTTTCTGAAGGCATTTTGAAAACCGAGACTCCGACAATCCCGGTGCCAGCGCCAGCGCCAGGGGCAGCTTCCCAGCCTGCACGGCCCGGCTGCTTCGCCGGAGTCCTGCAAGGACAACCTCATCTCGAACTGGCAATGCAGTGAGCTGCAGCGGCTTCCGATTCTTGCTTGAGTCCTGCTGCTAGAACCAGGCCCAGCAGCAAGGAGCGGGAAACTGGCGACTTGGGTGGCCTTGGCCTGTGAGAACCGGCAAGCAAGGTAGCATGCTCAGTCCTGCAAGCACTTCGCTACCGTTCAATCCCACTTTGACATCTGGAATTGCAGCTTCATAGTTGCCATGCTTATGCTTCTAGCATTTGCGTAATAGCGACCATGTTTGCTGACTTGGACTTGCACCCGGGAATTTTGCATGTCATGCACTGCATTGTACTACATTGCTTTGCACTGCAGTGAGAGCACACCACGTGTCATTGGGTCGCCTCCTGCTAGAAGAGGAGGGCGACGAGCCAGACAGAACGCAGGGGGCCTCCTCGCACACTCGATGTCCAGTACTTGTTTGAACAAGTTTACCCGAGCTGCCTAGGACCTAGGATACCATCCAGACTTGGCTGGTACTGATATTGCTGTCCTCTTGACGCAACTCTTTCAGCAGGGCCGCCCTGGCCACCTTGCCGGTCGCGGCATTCCTCAGCTCAGAACTCTGATTCCAGTGCTGTTGGCCCGGCGTGGCGCATCGTCGCCTTTCACTGCCTTGAGCAACACGTATCGGACTGGGAGCTTGCTCGGTGTGGGAGCCGGCTCAGAGAAATTTCATGCTGTGGCGACATGGTGCCAGCCTTCTCGAAGAACGCTAACAGAAACTATGCCAAACGATGCTTCACATTGCATGGCAGTGAGCATAGACATAAATCTGTATTTGTGCAGAAGCGATCCGAAATTGCATCTTGGCATGCATGAATTAGCAGATGCGAGCGCGCCCTAGTCGGGATTCACATCTTCAATCTTCTTGGAGACGGTGGGATACCCGCTGTGCAAAAGTTCCATGCAAGCGCAGTCCTTGGATGCGTACTGATTTCACATCGCAGGATCGGATGTTTATTTCGCCAAGCGGCATGGAGCTCAGACAACAAAGATGTTGATTGCCACCACTGGACTCGCTGCGCGCATGCACTGATGGCGGCACCGAGCCTGATCTTCTTTCGAGACCAGAAGCAGAACACGCAAACCAGCATCCTTTGTCTGTCGGATCGTGTTGACGCGGCCGCTTCAAACTCATGGAACGCATGCGGGTGTAATTATGTGTGTGTGCGCGCGCCACCCGAAATTCCAAAGGAACTTTATTGAGAAAGCAGCAGCTGACCCCGAAAGAAACAAAACTTCGATCGGTGTCAGCGTATGAGGTGGAGGGCGAGATTGGGGAGCTTGTCCAAGTTGAAACGCTGGCAGAAGAAAGAGTTTGGAGCTCGAATGGTGTGACGGACGTCTAGTGGGGGACTTGGTGGGTCCAGGTGGCGCCGGCTCGAGAAAGAAAGCTCGAAAGGACGCAGGTCGAGAAAGTGAGGCTGAGGAGGAGAAAGACTGAAAGTTCGAACGTTTGAAAAGTTTCTAAAGGAGAAATGGCTGCTGAAAGGTTAAATTGGTTAAATTAAATTCTGCGAGATGGAAAGCTTGAACTTTCCTATGGACAGTTTGATTTTGAACGCATGCAATTTGAGAGGTGCTCTTGTGCTTTAAGGTAGTATCAACTGAGTGGGGGGCTTAAAAGCTTCGGGGTGCAACAAAAACTCAAATCCTAAACAGGACCTTACCTAAAGCAAGGTTACATGTACTTTAAATTGGTTCTTTTTTCGCGAGAAGTGTAGCTTCCCTAGTTACCCTAAATCCTTTTCAGGTTTCCGTGTTCTTCAAGCCCAAGTCCTGCCTACCCAAATCCTAAACGTCTTAGCCTTGAAAACTTGGAACCCGGCATGACGACATCCTGAGCCCAAAACCTTCATGACTCAAGGAAACAAAGGAGTTCTGACACAACCGCAACCCCCTGATGAAGGGGGGGATGTCGAAACTTGATCACTAACGAGCGGACGGTTTTGAGAAATGTGATCAACCGGAATCGCCAAATGAGGGGGCGAGTTTCAGCACTCATGACTAGTAACCGCCATCGCCTGCGCCTTATCAGGGGATGGACTTTGAGAACGATGGAGGGTTTGGACATGTCAATGTCATACGCCGCAAACGCAGGACGAGGGGGCAGCTTTAAGCATGTAGTTACCTGCCATCGCCTGATGCGGGGTCGCATCTAAGAAATGTGATACACCGTCATCATTTTTTGAGCGAGCGGGTTTGCGAATGTGAGTTGGGCTATCGCCTAAAGACTTGCGGTCAGCCGCCCTCACCCAATGAAGCAGATTTCAAAATGCTTGAAGTGCAAGCCGAGCGTGAGTGACAGGCATAGACCCCACCTGATGCCGGGCCTTGTCAATTTGCAAACCTTCGTACAAGTACTTTCGATCTGTCAAGTTTTCAAACTCTCGAACTTTCAAGCTTGGAACCTGCCAGCCACGCTTGAAGCCTTCATACTTCCAATTGTCCAAACCTGCGCAGTCTCGAGCAATTGTTCAAACGCTCAAGTTTTCAAGCTCGGAACTCGGAACTTTTGAAGCAGACGCACTTGAAACTCGCATACTTCCACACTCGAACAATTTCATATTTTTTTCAGACTTTGAAGCTTTCAAGCTCGGAACTCGGCAGACGGAGGAATCGTTGAACTCGACGCTCTTGAGACCATCATACCTTCGAACATCCAAACCGTCGCATTTACGAACTCTTGACCCGTTTATGCCCTTCGAACTTTCCACCTGTGTCCAGCCTGCGAACCCCCAAACTGCTAACCTCTCAAAGTTCGAAGCTTTCGAACTCTTGACCTCAGCGGCGAGCCACAAGCCGAACTTGGAGTGAAAGCTTCGATCTTTCGAAAAATTCAGCGTTACAACTATCGAACTTTCAGTCGTCAAGCGCATTCAAACTCCCAAACCCTCGAAATTTCGAATCCTCTTAACTCCTAACTTTCCAACTTTGAGCGCCGATCCAGCACGGCCACAGCTAAAGGATGGAGATTGAGATCGAAGCAGCTAGTCGAGTTTGAAAGTTGAAAGTTCGACCGTTTCGAGTTTGGAAACTTAGACAGCCCACTTGCGCATACCAATGCGCCCAATTCTTCGAACCACCACCTGTCAAACCGTGAAACCTTCAATGCTAGTCACTTTCAACCTTCAAACCTTCGATCTTTCAATCTCTCGAACCTTCGATCTCGAACACCCCCGCTCCGGACACAATACAAAAACACTCTGTCCGGGTCTCAAAATCTTTGGAGAATAGTTGTCCAGGTCTTTTGGGGCAGAAGGGACAGCACAGCACTGTTGAGGTCCCAGAGCCCTGAGGCACTGTGCTGTTCCAGATCTCCGGGTGCCAGCACCTAGGGACAGCCTACGCACGAGGTCCAGAACAGTGGAAACGGGGACCACAGACTCGGACCCTGCAGGGTACGCGATCTCGAGCGCACAAAAGGGGTGCTACAAAACAGAACCTTTTTTGTTTGTCAAAAGAAAGGCGGTCGAAAGAATGAAGTTGTCCACATTACTATGAAGGGATGGGACAACTGTCTTTAGCAGCTCCGTATGCAAAACTGGACGGTGCAAAAACGTGTTTGCACATTAACGGGTAGATGCAACAGTTGCGCTTCCGGTTGTAGAGATGAAAACCTCCCTGCTGCATGCTACGAGGACGTATGGACGCGCGCTTTTGTGTTTTTGCCCAACATCAAAACCCGAGAAGCTCTCTGACTTGCTGATGGAAATGCAGCCCGTAGGGCTTGTTGACTGTTGTACTGGACACATGAAGGAGCTTTCTTATATCTTGATATAACATCTCTCGCTCCGGTTGATACGCGACAGAGCCCCTACTGCTCCTGCAACGGAAACGGGGGAAATCCCATTTTCTTTAAGCAGAGCCTTTAACAGGACTATCAAAACAGAGGAAGGCTTCATTGTCCATTGACCACGATTGGGAAAGGAGAGCTCTTCTATCTCGCACTGAAAAATGGCTCGTACAAGATGGGGGCAACGAAGCACCTGCGTGACAGATAAAAAAGCTCAAGCAAAAGAAGCTGTCACTCTCGTTTTCGGAGAAATAAATAAAGGCAGATTCCCTTCGATTCGCCCGTTTACCTCTGATCCAAGAACAGACAAGTTCTCTGACTCCGTCGCATGAACAGGTGGTACAGCAGGCCTCAGGCGTAGAATTGTGGGGGTTACGAGTGTTTCAACTTGATTGTTTCTTCTTTCCGGCTAAGAAATCGACCCGAGGAGCTTTTCAGTCTCCGATGAAGAAACACACGGGGTTGTCTGGAGACTCAAAGTTCAAAGAAGGTAACTTGTTTCGTAAAAGTAGCTCGAGAGCCTTATCTCTTGTTTCTTGACGAAAGATCGACAAGTAGGACAAAATGGGCCAGGTGTAGGTCTTGAGAGGGGGCGAGCATACCTCTGAAATAGATTTTTTATATAAACAAAAAATATATATATATATATGTGTGTGTGTGTGTATGGTACCCCCCAAAAAAACCACACTCCCACCTGCTCAGGTACGCCGAGAATCGACTTCGATGACTTCGTTGCAGCTTTGAGTAGTTCAGGGTTTAAGGGTTTTGTGCTAAGGGTTCTCGGCGTAACAGGTCAGGGTTTCTGCTGAAGTGCATGCCTCTGGTTGCAGTCCACGCTACATGTATATATGTTGTTTCCCGTCGCTTTTTAGGCTAGTACAGTACAGCCTTGAGCATGTTTAACTGTACATGTACAAGTAGGTGCCATGCCTAGCTAGCACAGACTTAACAGACCTTTTGTTTGCAGTGTTTGTGCAAAAAGCTCCGCGTTTGAGTGCGCCATGGCCGGGTTTGGAGAACATGGAACTAGGGAATTAGCTACTCCACTGGTTTCTATCTCTCAACCTGCTGGTGCACTCCAGCAAATCAGCTAATTCCCCAGTTGCGTAAAAGCTGTCGCGGATTGTTGCTTTCATTTCGCTGACCCATCCCGAATCTTTCGCGGACACATTGCTTTGCATCTTACAACCGTTAGGTAGAAATCTGAAGGACCTTTCGATCAATAGTCACATGCACATACAGCAGGCCGTGCTACTGCATACCGCAATTTGCACTTGCAATTGAACAAGCTGGCAGCGGTTTTGTGCACCACCTGCTGTACCAGCAGAGGCCCGCTGAAGGAACAAACAACATCACCGTCCTTCGCAAGAAGGGCCTGCGCAGCACAAGGAAAGAACCCACTGACAACTAGTGTGTGCTGCACACCTGGACATCACTCCAAGCAATGCCATGTCGCCCTTCAAAAAGACTCTGTCCCTCCTGCCGAGTCAGAGCAGGCCCACGGTCAAAGGCGTGGTACGTGCTTGTCCGTTCTTGTCCTGCGATTCCCATGGATTCAGCCTCAGCCAACTCGCGCCCTCGTTTTGAACAATTACCAAACGAAAGCACGCAGAAAGAAAGCCCGGAGCCACACGCATCATCAGAAGATTCCTGCCATAGGCGCAGGAGAAAAGGCGCTCCATGCTCACTGAGCATCACTGAACACTACATCAACACCCTCATACTTCTCAAAGGAACCGATGGAGATGATCCATCTTTGGTTCTTTGCGCCCTTCGCTTGGGAGCCTTGGTTGCCTCCTTTCCGCGTTGATTCCGAGTATGGAGGGAAGAGTCAGATACAGTGGTCCGTTTCGTCGGGGTCGCACAGCCTGACTCGAGCGTCTCGAGCCAATCGCGAATGCGTTACCGCCATTGCGACGGTCCATTCGGACTTGAGCATTGCGGAATACGTGAATTGGTTCCGGTCCCCTCTGGACCGAAGCTGAGCCGCTCAAGATCAAATGTCCACGAGAAATGAACACACCAACGACCCAGGACCGGGACACTGCAACACGGACCGGGGCGAACGACGCCCACATCCTGCAGGACACCGACTGGCAACTCGATCGACACCGACTCGGACGAGGAGTTTCAAATGGCAGCAAGAATTCATCAGGAAAGTGATGGGCGTCCTCGCCATTGGAGCATAGAATCGTTTCTTCCTGGAGTGCCCTCATGGCGTCCGTGCGTCGTGTTTGGATCTGCACGTTGCAAGCCTCTATCTGACGATTGCGAACACGTGCGAGCGCGTACCATGACACGGACGTTCAGGTTGCAAAATGGATGTCTTGGGCCTCGCCAAATTTTGGATTCCTGGGCCTCCTGCACCTCCAGCCTCCCCAAGGCCCAGAAACACCAGAATGGATTTGACTTCTGTTTAGCCTCACCAAAGCCCGGAATCGCCAAAACGGATTCGGTTCCCCACGGCCCGGAAGCACCAAAACGGCTTTGTTGGCAACGAGTTGATGTTGGATTCCCCGCCAAGAAACCTCGGAGCCTCCCTTCTGGCTACAATGGGCCTCCAGATGGCACAAGGTTCTGGCATCGTTCAAAGCGCCCGGAAGCTGCCGCTGCAGGCGGTAACACGAAGGAAGGGTACCTTCGCTGAGTGCTACCGCGAAAGCTTGGGCTTGGCCTTAAGCGAGAGGCGCACGCACTGCTTTGCCGCAAGCAGCGCTTGCCTCCTGGCGACACTTTCGACAGTGTTTCAGAGTGAAGGCCCAGAACTTCCGACCCTGCATGGCCTGCCAGTCCGCGGGCTCTAGAGCCTGACTTTTGGCGATGGTCATCACCAGCCGCAGCATCAACGTCGTGGCAGCTTGCAAGTCGGCATCGAGTTGGGCTCCAAACTCCTTGGATTGAGGAGTTCAGCTCTCTTGCTTCCGCTTCTGTCGTGGCACCCGTCGTGCGGTGGCCTCGTCACCGTCGTCACTAACTTCATGTCCGAGGACACGCCGGAAGCCCTCAGGAAAGGCATTCGCCGTATCACGCAGTAGACATGTTCAAAGCATCCGCTTGTGCTGAAAGCCGATGTGCACCAGTGCACCCGCCTTGTAATCGAAGTCTCTGACTAAGAAGCGGCCCAAAAAATCGGGCATGGCATGAAGAGCTTGGTGGCAGTCTTTGACGCCTCACCCAAAGACTCACGTGGCAGAGGAGCCACATTGCACAGCATCTGCAAACAAGAGTCCGTATGCCGCTTCCAGCCTGGACATGAACAACCAAACCTAAGGGCTCCCTTTTTTCAGCTGCCATGGTGTATCAAGGTCCCAGCACATCCAACCAAAGAGCATTCTCCTCCGTCTCCCGGAGGCCATTACAAACAGTGTTCCCGTCATCTAGGTCCTTCGCATGTGCTCGCATCCATCGAGCTTCAACCATTTTCAAGGTGCCCACAAAAAGTCTGTCTGCGCCTGCGTCGCCATGTCGGAAAAGATACATGCTCGGCACAAACTACATGCGTACCAGGAGTGCTTTCATTGGCACGGCTCAAAGAGACTCTTGATCCAAAAGTGCGTGGCATGGCAAACGCAGACACGAAACGATTACACTCACACCTTCGCCCTGGATACGAAAACCAGAAAACGGCGTATGAATGAGCTTGTACGCACAGGCACGTGTACATATTCAGGTATATGCATCTCTGCTGACCTAGCTTGGCAGAAGAGGATGAGTATCAGAAGTGCGTAAAGCAGCGTGGCGAAACTGTTTCGATTTGTGGTCAGGAAGGTCTAGCTTTGAAATTGCCACATGTAAACACGTGACAATTGGGCGGCATGTCTCGATCGATAAGTTTGTCAGTTGCAACCATGGTGTCATTCCATCACTTTCAGACTAACGTGGCAAACTCAAAACGTGTTCCTACCAGTCAATGGTGTGTCGCGTGGGTCCAACATTGGTAAGTCATTCATACAGGCCTCGACGCATGGACCTGCAGCTAGTTGCTGAAGCCATGGTGAGCTTCCACAGCTAGTGCTGCACTCCGTAGTCGTCTCAGCAAAAGCGCATGCCCAAAGAATGAGAAGTATGCTCGCCGGTGGAATATCGAATGAATTCTTACTGCGCGTACCTAAAAGCCATGCTTGGCAACAGAGCGGCTTGCATATGTTGGAAAATTCGAAACATCCTCAAGAGCCTGAATGTGCGCGGGGCTTGTGCATATGGCGATGCACTCCACCGTTCCGAGGGCCACAAAAGGATGTGAGCATACGCACGGGAGATCTCTTCATTTAGGTCGACAGATAGCCTGTCATCTTCTGCAAATTCTCAAAAAAACGATGAGAGTTGCTCTATGTTGCAATAGTAAAACCGTACCAGGAAATAAGAGATCACTTTCCGACCGCAAGATACAGCAGAGAGGAAAGATCCCTTGATGCTAGGACGGACAGGAGGCTCTTCCCATCTCCTACACTGAAAATGACTGGGCTGGGAACAAAATAACTTTCCGCCGTGATCAGCAAAAGCAGGAGAATTCCCCGGCCCGAAGGCAACCGAAAAAGGGCTGATGTCGAAAACCTCGACACTTACTGTGCTGCTGAAAGTCCTGCCAAATGCATATATGATACATACCAAAAAGGCAAGACTGGGAGGCTGATTTGTGGTTCAACCTTCCCGGCACATCGGGCAGGAATCACTGCTACGAGTTGCCACACGCAAGGGATCCCAGCAGGTGTCTGAGTTCAAGTGTTACTTTGTGGTTTTTTGCATATACACTACCTGCAAACACGCATCTAACAGGACACAACTGCCATGTATGGTTAAAGTTACTTAAGCAGCTCGGACATGACCACACGATCTCGCGTTGTAAACACCCAAACCTCAAGCAGACGAACTATCAGGCTGATGGGACCTAATTAAAGCCTCTCTGCCGAGACGAGACAGTTCGAGGAATCGTTCTCCCTGTAGGTCCGGTAGGTCCGGTCGGGGGGATGCGCTGTCAGCTGGGATATCCGTGAGATCCCTGAGACAAAAGGCGCCGCGCAGCTAAAATTGTGATTTGCAGCCTCCAGGCGCTTCTGCCAAGGTTCGGGGTGGGAAGACACTTCGAGGCTAACCTGCTTCTGTGCTCTCCTTGCAGTCTTCAACTTGCCCGTGCTCCGTTGCTTCTGCGAGTAGCTCCGGGGTTTCTTCGCGAAATTGGGTTCCATCGCAGCAATTGCGGACAGGGCGCTTGGCCACAAAACCCCGGCAGCTCAGGCTCCCGCCAAGAGGATGAAGAAGGGAACGTCTCGCCTGCGCGAGAAGGTGAACAGAGGTGAATAGAGTCTCGCAGAAAAAACCGCAGCGCCCACCAGCTCCAACCCTGAGGCTGTGGGTTCCACTCGTAGACAACAAAAGCCTGACATCTGAGGACCGCATGCACGGATCAACCTCCTTTCAAGCACTTTTCGGCTTCCGGCCTTCGTTGAAGTGCCGCACATGTTCAGCAGTGCTCTTGACAGCAATGCGCACACGCAAGTTCCGGCGAATGCCCGGAAGGTCACCTGTGCGACGGGAGCAAGAGATTGGCAATCCAACTCGGAACCGAAACACTCCGTCTGATTCTGGATACTGTGTTGTCTACCCAATGATACCCAATGGGTCGGGCGCGCGAATCATTGCGTCGTTTCCTATGGCTTTGGCATCCGGGCCGTGATGCGCTTGACACAGGATCTTGCAGGGCCCGTCTTGTCAACTTAAGCCCGGCGGCTGCTTTTCCTATGTCTCCGAAATTGGGAACCAGAGCAGCTGCCTCTACAGGCCACGCGGACGAGGTAATTTCCTCAAACATGTAGACCTCGCGCCAATGAGCTTCATGCTGCACGTCCGTGGGAGGTCTGAGATGGTCTGAGGTCAAGGCGATACCTCCGATTGGCGAATCAAAAAGCATAGCCTCCGGCAAAAAACAAATCTTTTCCTTGCCATATCCTTGGACACTTTGTGGGGCAGAAAGGCCCCCGGCCATACCGCAAGCTCCACCAACAGTACACACAATGCGCTTCGCGTGCTCAAATCGATCCTTGACGGTCTTCTCTAGTGCCACATGCTGGACTCGCCAAAGCAGCTCTAACCCGAATCCTCATCAATCATCGTCGCAGCAGAAGTCGCAGAGCCAGGTGCATCTACATCAACCCACTGACCTTCGCGCAACTTGTGCCGTCCAAGATTGTTCATGCGCTGTCTCTTCAAGTGCCCCCGACGAACGAATGGCAGCGCCATTGCAGACGTGATGATGTATGCCAGATTGCTGCCCATGGTGACCTATGCTACACTGCAAAGAAATAAATCTCGCTGAGCTCGTGATGGATTTGCATGCGGAGCACCGTCGGCCCCTCGCGACCAACAGGGTAACCAGTGACCTGCGATGATTGCCACAAGGACGGCCACTATCCACAAGACGCGCATCATCAGATGAGAATGTGACATTCGCCAGCATTGTGGCGACTGCACGTCCGACAAGGTTCTGCAAAGTGAACAACTCGGGCATCTCATTCCTTCGGCGAACCCCATGTCGCCCCGACAACTTGTCTCGGCATGCCAATAAGCTCCCGGCCCATTGAGGAACCCCTTATTCTCAGGTGCTCCAGAACCACCGGCGGCAGGTGCGCAGGTGAAAATGAAAAGCGTGCAACCTGAGATACAGAGAAACAAGGGAAACATAAACCGACTCGCACGACAACTCAGGCTGCGACATAAGGCCAGGCAAGAACAAATCCCGGTAAACCTTTTCAGCCAGCCGATGTATGCGAGTTTAAACTCGTGCCCATTCGGCTTGAGGAAGGCTTGGACAGGAGCCCAACGATCGCGAACCAAACGCCAAGATTGTCCACCATGGCCTGGTCCGCTGAGAAATCTCGGGCTTCTCCGTTTAGACTAGAGCCGACTGGTGAAGTTTCAAGTTCGCCCGAGGCGATCGGGTGAACAAGTTCAACAGTCCTTTCATACCAATGGAACTTGGAAAGTAGCTGCAGACATTGCACGTTTGCACCAGAGGCTGTTGCCGACGTATACTTGTTTATCCATGCGCGGTTGAAGCTCATGACCCATGAGACTGTGGTTGTGAAAATCCCACTCGCATCCAGCTCTCAGATCCCTCGCATTCGAGTGTTACCTTTTTGGCTTTCAGGGTTATTGCGCCCACTGGAGGCCTGATACCACCGTCACCTTGCAAATTTTCAATCCCCCGAGCCTGCAGCGTGTTGAACTTCCATTCAACAGCAAAAGATATGATCCAAATGGTGAAAAAGTTGATGACGGCCATGGTAACGGCCGTTATCAAAGTAATCGTCCACCTCATGGTCAACATGTTCATGCCATGCTGTATCCAGCTTGATCATAAGGCATTCGCATCACTCCAAAAGGGAGCTTGTGAGTGTTCGGGCCACTTGTCCTAAGGGAGCCGAGGCCACTGCTAGCTTTGCAGTTCAAACAATGGCAATGAAAATCCAAGTTCAGGGCTTGATGCGCCTCAGACCCCTCATTGGAGTGCCTGCTGGCTGTTGGATGCCGCACACGCATCCTCTTTTTCAAGAGTCGGGGCTACAACTTTTCTGCGGTAGCACCTGACCCATGTTTTCGCGGCGTGCAGCTTTTAGCTAGGCCGACAGCAACTAGCAAATCCTGCCAGATGAGGAAAGAGTGCATGCTACTGTGTAGTGCGTCACGGTGCATGTACCTGTCCTGGAAGTACCCTTCGTCATGAAGGCCACGTGCTGATTGCAAGGACATCTGCGGCTGCCGCAGCCTTCCTAGCGGGGTCGCATAATTCCAGGCGTGCCAGCAAGTTCCACAAACTGCTAGTAATCCCGCTCGCATCTCGAAAATGCTGACTACGGGAGGTCCTCACGAAGGGGCGTCTGGCAACATGGCAAGAACTAAATGGTGTTCCACACTTGTCAACTTGGCTTTCTGTCAACTTTGGACTTTGGATGTCGTTTCAAGAACTTCACGTTGCAACATGGTTTTGCAGCATGTCGGCTGCGTGACTGGTCGGGGTGTTACCAACTTCTTGGCATTGCTTCCTCCGACAACGCTGTTTCAGGAAAACATGAATGCTGGTTGTCAGTGCCGGGAAATTAACTGGCTGCAGAACTCTACTTCAACCGCTGACCCTCCGACACAAACTTCTGCATCGTATCTGGTTTAAAATCAAATTTCCCAGACAACTGTGCAGATGCGCCGCGCAAATGCAAATGTCACGGACAGTCGGGTGACCTGTTTTTTAACCCCCCACTTTTTTTTGACCCCCCTCCATTTTGTTGACCCCCCGGCTTTTTTTCTGAACCCCCCGTCCCCCCTTCCAACTTGTTGTGTTGTGCCACCACCTGCTATTCTGATCTCCGGACCCTGCTTGCGAAACTCGATTTTGGACTGTTTGTTCTCTCCCAAGCCCTGCTCCCGCGCTGCGTCGGCTGTGGGCGGGGCAAAATTTCGGGCTCGCGCTCAGGGTTACTATCCATGAACCACACTCGAAGTTACACAGAAGACCCTGAACGAAAAGAACACTGTATGTATAAGGCTGATAACCCGGAAGGATGGGTAGGATAGGATCACGGAACAGGGGCAAGGAACCACAACGGGAACGCAAACCCTCAAAACAAGGCTAGCGCTCAAGAGAGCCTTTTTCATGATGAGCCAAAGTTCACATTGGCTTCATAGTTATACTGCTCAGCACTGTCGGACCTGGTAACACACAGAGGTGGTGTGGAGATTACCCGTAACTCTACAACTTAACTGACTTAACTTCATGGAAACCTCAGCCCTCAGCATGGGGCTTTCGAGGATGTGCGGCAGGTCCGCTAGCCGCTAGCTCTCTGATACTGAAGGGTTTCTATGTCTTGTCAATCATGTCAACTGTCAAGTTCAGTAGGCACCGTCGCAAGATGCGGAATCCATGCAAGGCAAAGCAGCTACGATCTTCTTTCCACCACGATTCTGTTCTTCACAACCCCAGATGCCCATGATGCTTTTAACCTAGTTATGCACATGATGCCTCTGCTAGGCTATGGAGCTTTTGTGTTTAACAATTAACTATTCTTGCGAACCAACAACTCTTTTATGCTCCCGAAGTTTTGCTGGCTTACTTATGAGGCACATGCACACAGTACACACCCACACATACATGGCAGGGAGTAGGACGCCACTGGGCTGAAGAAAGAAAAGCAGATCCCCGTAAAAAGAAAGTTCAAGAACAGAGCGGGTCACGGGGACGGCCCATGTAACTAGAGTAGAGAAGTTTCACACATGAGGGTATGTGAGTTCGCATGCATGCTTCCTGAAGTCATATGCTTGTCTCAGAGATCCAAGCATGACTCCGCTGTTAATTACACGGCGAAACTGCGAATGGCTCAAGTCGAGTGAGAAAGGTCCGAAGGGAGTTTCGAGTTCAGGGTTTCAGGGTCCCGGTCGGCTTGCAGTGCACTTGTGCGTGACTGTGTGCATCCTTCCTAAAACCCTTCAACCCAGCAGAAGCCAGTGCAGCCTTGCAGTGTCGGTGCCTGAGTTCACGACATTGCAGACTTCCTTCAGAGCTTCGCTTCAACAAACGAACAGGAGATCACAGCCTTGCAGAATTCTAACAGTGCGTGGGAGCACTGATTGACATTCCGGTTTAGGCATCTTTAGCTGTTTGTTTGGTTACCCTAGATCTCGTACTTCGGTTTACGCGGTTCCCGATTCACCCTAAAAGGCTCAAAAGTTCAAGCTGGCCGCAGCTAAGACGACGATAGTTGTGACTCACAAGTTGTGACTTCGACTTTTGACGACGGCTCAAAGGCTCAAACTGTCAGCAGCTAAGACGAAGAAACTTGCGATTTCGATCTTTGAAGCTTGATGGAGCTGTCACCATCGCCATCGCACTACTCCATTGTTGCAGATTACAATGGGAGCCCACAGCAACAACAGAATCGTCACTGCGTCATGTTGCGCACTGGAAAAATGAGACTCCGTTGATGTACTGGGGCCATCAACGCCGCGTCTCCGAAGTCGCACGCTTCCGAACGCCCCCAACATGACACTTGGCGCAAACTAGTTTATGCCGGGATCCAACAACAAGAACAACAACATCACCGAATCAACGAAAACATTTGACACGATGGACCACCGCATGCGCCAAATTTCGTGTATGTTTGGTGTCAGCTGTCCCCGGCAAACACAGGCTGCAAAGCTGAAGGGATCCGGCTGCAAATGCATTTGGAAAATTGATTGGAGCTGCCTCTCCCACGCACATTTTGCACATTTGGGGCAGGAAATCTAAGCGATTCATGTCAACGCCCACGGCGACAGGGGCTAGACCAGGAAGGCTTGCCGAATCGCAGCTTCACGCCTTGCGAACAAGCGCTTGAAAGCACATTCAACATGCTCGAGGCAAAGCCAAACAAGAAGCAAAGCCAGCGCAGAGCGTACCTTTAAAGAAGGCAGCAACCATAGCCTGAATGCTTGGAAGGTCTGCGCGGAATTGCGATCAGTTGAAACAGAAATTGGGGCCACCACTTGTCCATATGCCGACTTTTCGGAGGGCCTTGTTAGCACACAGTGTGAAGCGTTAATTCCTGCATTCACAAACAGCCCAGCCTTCATCCTTTGTTTCAGTGCCCTCTTCTCCTGCTTCTTGCGAAGCTTTCTTGACCCTCCTTGGACCGGCAATGGAGCTAAAAAAGCGGGGCAAGTCAAAATCTGGGGGCGGCAGAAAGGCTCAGAGAAGTATGATCTCGTTTCAACCGATGCTACATGCAAGACACCGCCTCGACGTGTAAACAGGCTGCATTTTCGCTGCGTCCGTCCAAGGCCCACACTGAAAGAAGGATCACAGGGGTGGTTTTCACCCACGCCTTGCGGGCACAGTGGGCCCGAAACCTTGAATGACCCTCACATACCCCCACAACCCTGCATTCCCAACCAGAGAAACGCCCTTCAAGAAGGCCAAGCTTAAGAGCCCACGTCCTCGATTTCTAGCTTTCTGAAGCAACCCCCCCAAAGCGAGGCCTTGGCTTGGCAGGAGGATCACTTGCGGGCCCCAGGTCGTGGTGGTGTGTTTCGCTTGGATGTATCTTTCATGTGTAAGGGCTTGACGCCAAACACTTCGCACGTGTTGTTAGCTGACAAGCTCATCTATGTAAGTTCACCCATGCCTGCCAACCCCTGGCCCCATTCACTGCATACTTTAGGTAATATTTAAAATTTACTGGGCCACCGGCTTTCAGGCTGTGGCGACGTGGCCTCCGCAACATTTAAGGTGTAGCTGTTTTGAATGAAAGTTCAAAGTTTCAGATTGCAAATGCTTTCAAGCAAAGCTTAGGTGGCTTAAGTGGGGGTGGGCATTACCGCCCTTGGTCTTGTTGCCGTACCCACGTTTTTTCTTTTCAGGGTTTGCGTTCTTGATTTCAAGGGAATGGGTTTAGGGTTTAGGGCTTTAGGGGTGGTTGGGGGGTGTGAGGGGTGAAGCCCAGAGAACACAAGCCAAGCCAAGCCACATGAGCCAAGCCACACCTAAACAAAAACAAAACCCAGGCCCTGCCTTGGATTTCATCGCTTCGACAAACACCCATTCAGGGTTGTGGCCAGCGAATCTCACCTGCGACGCAAGCGCAAAAGGAAACAACCAAGCACTGCTTACGCGTCGCACGTCCACCTCCTTGATCTGCCCCAGAAAAACATCTTCCTGCCAAGACATTGGTAGCTTGTGAGAGGGTTTGGGGGGAAGGAGGGTTGGGGGACTGGTGGAAAGTTTGGGCATGGAGGGGACGTGGCAGGAGCTGGTGAACAATACTACAAACCTCTCCCAATCCCTGCCAATCTGGCAAGCCTCCACACAGACGTTCACGTCAAGCGTGGCAGCCACGAGCTTTGCGCAAGCGCCGCTCCCGAGGACCACAAAGGAACCCATCCTGGACAAGTTTACGGCGTGCGGCCATAATGAGGCATGGAGCAAAGCACGCACAACACACCTGCCGCTGACTCGCGCCACTATGCCTGGCACAGTGTCGTCATCGTCAAGGTGTATACTTTGAGCATCACCCCAAAGCTGAGGCAACAGCCCTCAACTTGCTGCCCTACGAAGACTTCAGGCTCCACTTCCTGCCTTGCATCCACAACTAGTGTAGAACTCCGACTGGCTGCACATCAACAGCCGTTCAAAAACACTGCGTCTGCAAAATGGAGAAAACCATACCTTCTGGCTCGCGGAGTGGTAATCGTCAAGCACGCGGACATCTGCTGAGCTGGGGAGCAAGCACAGGAGCGGATTGAAACACAGCCTGCAGCAGGATGTCTCCCTAACCGCCGTCACGCATCCTTCACATTCAACCTTGCCTCGCGCCACAGAAAACGCGGCACTGGACCCCGGTTGCGCCGCCGTGGGTCCAATGGGGTAGGTGACCGTGATCGACCCATTGCCCTCCACAGCTCGCTTTGCTACGCACGACCTCGGGGGGTCATCAGCCTGCTTTGCTCTTGGTGCTGCATGCGTTCTCCCTTAAGCAGCTTCAAAATCGCGCTTCTGGCTGCGCGGCTATTGCGGCCCTAGCTATCTACGTGTGGCCGCGTGGCATTTGAATTTGGACCCTCGCTGAAGGACTACCTGCTTTGTGACCACCTCGAGCGCGAGCACATGTCAACATGGCGCGTCAAATGGAGCTAGCTCACAACCGTACGAATTCGAAAAAGATCGGCCAAAGCTCGAACCCACGCAACCCGAGACTTTAACCCCAAACCCTTGTAAGCACACACGG